CCCCAAAACCCCAAAACCCCAAAACCCCAAAACCCCGTTTAGCATGTTTATAGAAATTTTCATGAAATTAGAACTGTTTATATTTAAATTCAAATGGATATAATTTAAGGACTAATGAATTTCATTCCTCGTGCTTCAACAGAGGCTAAACCAGCTCCTATTGTGAAAATATTTGATTAGAGCTTCAATCATTTCAAGGATGACTGCCAAGATGATAAGGATTTCTTATAGACTATGGAATGCATTTAGACAATTTTGAGAAATATAGACTAACAAGAAGTGAAGAGCTTAAGTAGCAAAGATTTAGCTTAGGCAAAGTAATGGGCTCTTGCTCTATGCCTTAAGTGTGAAAAATAAGTAGCTAAGAAAAGAAGGAACAAGCTGGCTTTGCAATTACTTGAACAAATCTAAGAAAGAAAACTATAGCAACCTTTTGCAACAGTGACACCTAAGAAGAGCCATAGTGAAAGCAGAGACTAATTCAATTTATCTGATAACTCTGAGCTTAATATTGATGACACGAGTAAAATATCATCTAACAAGAAATCATTATTTAAAACCATGAGAGATGACACTCCTATTGAATAAGACCTCTATGAGTTAGATTTTAGTATGGAGTAAGATTCCTCGAAGAAGTCTAGTCTAAACTAATAGTCATTGAGACTTACTCTAGCCTAAAAACTTATTCAACCATGTTTATAAGCTAAATAGCTGAATTTTCTCTCTAATCACAACAAAAGCTAAGATTAACTCTCTAGTCAAAAGAGAAAAAGTTTAGACAATGGCAATTCTTAGCATAGCTTATCTATAAAGGAGAATGTTAACATAATGAATCATAAAAAAGTCTAGACATAATAGACTCCCCAGTAAAATTCGTCAGTGCATGCTAACAAGTCGCATAGAACATTTCTGAGCAAATATAAGGATACTAGTTAGAAAACGAAGAGTATTGTTGGGGCTGTCAGCAATAGTAGCAACAATATTATAGGAAGTGGATCAAATAGTGCAAACACTTTAAACACAATGAGTGATAAGTGCCAGAATTACAAATCTATGATAGCTTAAATGAACAGTCCATAGCTAAACAAGCAAAATAGATAAATTGTGCTAAGTAAGTAAAAACCCTCGAATCATTAATCACCATTTCTAATCAATGAAAGTAATAACTAAGATGCTAAGGAAAATAAGGAAGCCACTTTTAACCCTTCCTCATCATACAAAAGTATAGGGTCTTTCAAAATTGAGTTAAGAGTATGCGAGAGAGTAAACCCTACTCCGAAGGAGTAAAAGGCTGAATGTATTAAGAAATCTTAAGCCAGCTAGATGTATATGATGGACTGGAAATCTAAGATATAAACAGAGGTGGAAATTAAGCAGGTTGCGAAGCCCACCTGCTCCAAGTATAATAGCAGACTGGGTATGTCTAAGTCTATTTCAGATCTCAAATTCACTGAAAACAGTTAAAAAACAAACAGCAAAAAGATGTCAAGAATTAGCAGCTAGTGTACTATCAATACAAGAAAGCCATGTAGTAGCAAAAATAGTACAGAGAGATAAAGATCAGATCTTAAGAGTGTCAATAAATCACCTATGCCAAGTGATAGTGTAAGAACTTCAATTGAAGAAGGAGTCAAGCATTGCAACATGACAATGACGCAAGTAAAGTAAAATGGTTTAATCAATGCTATGAAGGAGGTACCTATACATTCGTGCAAGAGTAATATGAATTAACCTTTCAATTTGAAAACCTACATCAACTCTACTAATACTCTTAAAACTTTGACAAGAGTGACAGAAGATACACCTGGTGGCTTTAAATCACCTCTTTCATGTTCAATATCCCAGAATTACTTTGACAACACTGGAGTGACTAACTCATCTCCATAGACCAATCACAATATCCAAGAGGATCTGAGAGTAGTTTTTCATTAGGAAACAGAGTAGAATGAACACTCAACAGACACTAGAGATAATTCAACTACTGGATTGATTAATAGAATCCCAAACAATAGTGGGCCAGTGAGCGGCAATACTAAGCATAAAGAGAAAATTATGAATGAAGATAGCAAAATAAGTATTAGCAATCATAATGATTCAATCAATTCAATATGCAATCAGAAGGATAGTCCAGCTACTAACAGTACCACTGCTACAACTGCCAGTACTACTTTAAGAAATGGAAAAGTCAAATCAAATGATAGAGCTCAGGGGAGTTTAAGCAACATGTTGAAAGGAGATAGCAAGATATGGAATAGAAGTAAGATGAATGAGCTGTACAAGCAGATATGCCTGATGAAAAAAGCCGATGAAGGGTTATTTAAGGAATTAATGGGAAAGATGAGTGGTCTATAGGTTAGAGGACAAAGTAAAGGAAATGATAAAAAGGTAGATCTAAGGTAATTAAGAGTCATATGATATCACTCAGAAATGATTGGAAATTAAAGAATACTATTGATAATTGAACTAATTATACAGTGAATAATAATCATAGAATTCAATAAAATTGATTGATTAAATTAATTAATATAGCTAATATGAAAGCCTTAATTATTATTAATAAAGAAGTTTGAGGATACCTCGCCAAATAAACAGAAAGAATATGAGTTTCAGTCACAGTTTTGCTTACTCAAAGACAAGAGAACAAGACATCGCTCTTTTGCTTACCGCTGGTGTACAATACCTTGCATTTTTACCCTAATTAGGCCCACATTGGTACTGAGAACTGCTCAAGCTTGATGGCTCCATACATGTACAAACGCAACAATGAGGGAATTCACATTATCAACGTCGCCAAGACCTGGGAAAAGCTTATGGTTGCTGCCAGAATTATTGCTGCCATCCCCAACCCAAGAGACGTCTTGGTAAGTTTTAAACACTATTCTCGTTTCGTATTCTTAACTTTGGCGTTCTTCTGCTTCTCCTGAGTCTCTCAGGATCAAGTAGAGGGCTGCCACTTCTATAGATCGTCTCAAACAGAGAATACGCTTAAAGAGCCGTCCTTAAGTTCGCAACCTACACTAAGGGTAACTACTTGGGAGGAAAATGGACTCCAGGTACACTCACTAACTAGAACACAAAGAAGTAAATATCTCTTTTTCCTGAATCTTTCAATTACTAATTTTATATTTAATATATAGATTCTTAGAGCCAAGACTTGTGATCGTATGCGACCCAAGAACCGACCACTAATGTCTTATTGAAAGTTCATACATGAACATCCCAACCATCTCATTGTGTGATGCTGACTCTCCACTCAACTTTGTTGATATTGCTATCCCATCAAACAACAAGGGTAGACAATCAATTGCCCTCCTCTTCTATTTACTCTGCAGAGAAGTTCTCTACCTCAGAGGTGAGATCGACAGAAACGAAGATTGGGAAGTCATGGTTGACTTATTCATGCACAGAGACTTCGACGAGAAGAAGGATAAGCCAGTTGAGGCTCAAGAGGAAGAAGAAGTTGAAGGTGCTGATGCTGATGCCGCCGTTGAGGACCACATGAAGAAATTCCAAGAGGGAGAGGAGCAACAAGACGAAGACGAGGGTGATGAAGAAGACGAGAAATGGACCAACCCCGCTGAAGCCAAGGGAGCTTATGCTAAATGAGCAGTACCTCAAGCATCAAAAGATTGAAGCTTATCTCGAATAAGCCTTTCTAAAAGCTTAAATCAAATCATATCTCTTACTATTCTTATATCTATTTGCCTATTATCAACATCCGTTTTTTCTTTCAACAATGTGTTCCTTTGTCAAGCCATTATCTTTCCATTAATAAATCTATAATACAATCATTCCAAATTTACCAATTTCACTTAAATTTTTTAAGTTGGGGTTTTGGGGTTTTGGGGTTTTGGGGTTTTGGGGTTTTGGGG